CAACTTTGAAATTTGAAAAAGTATAAGGTCTATTGGGTAAAATAATATCATCTCTTTCCTATTCTTTCTCAACTTCGCTTCTATCCTCACAGAGACTCCCGACTCCATGAGAAAAAAAAACGCCTTAAGACAACCTAAATCGTGAAAATTTGATTACTCAATTTATCACTTTTTCTTCTTCTTTGTTAATCTAATTAATAAAAGAAATCTTATCATCTATCCCTGTTCGTCGTCATCATCATCTTCATCTTCTTCTCTCTCTCCACTTTATATGCTTATACGTAAGTACATACTAAACTCAGAAGAAGAGAAGATGAAGATACGCTTGTTCTTTAAAATATGAGAAACTCTCATCACAAACCTGCAAGCATATCACACAAAACACAAATTTTCCATAAAAAATAAAAATTCAAGCACTTGTTTCTCAACATTAAAACTCAAAAATATTCTGCAAGATTCAAGTTGAGATGACATAAATGACAAAGGCCAAGATGCACAGCAATAGGAGGTCATCAAGATCAGTACCCAAACTTTGTTTAATTGAATAGTATATAGCATGGTTTTAAATATCGGTCGATAATCCGATATTATCGCCGAGTTATCGGATTTGGGAGCTTTCCGCTAGGATAAGTAGGATTTTTAATCGATTATCGTTTTTGGAGGTTTATCGGCGAGTTATCGGCGATAAAGGCACTTATCGGCCGATAAGTAGGCTCTAAATATCGGCTTTATCGGCCGATTTAGGATTTGGGAGCTTTTACTTTCTTTTGAATTTGCTCTTCGAATGTTTACAAATTATGAGCTATTTGTTGCTTTTGGAAATTGGTTGATTGGTAATTAGCTGATGTTTGTTTATGGATATTGATAATGGCTCATAACTACTAAATATCAACTTAGTAAGTTAGTTCATGAATCTCATGATTAAACAATAATTATGTAGATACGTAGATGGTTCTTCATTCTTGATGTTATCTTATTATTTGCTTGTTTATTATTCTATTTTGACTAACATTATATTTTTTTCAAGCTTATGTTTGTTTATTATTTGCTAGTATATTACTCCGATAAATATTACTTATCCCCGATATATCTCCGATTTCCGCTATCCGATAAGGATTTTGACCGTCCGATAAATCCCCGATAACCGACATTTAAAACCTTGGTATATAGACTAAGTTTGTACAAGGTATTGTCATAGAAAGGGTTCTAACCATAGCTATTATTGTTGTTGCATTTTGTAAGTGAGAGTAAAAGCAGGGGCTTTAGGAGATGATTGTGAGAGATCAATGCATTTTCCTCCTTTAGTTTGATTGTTGACAAGTATATTTTTACATCTATTTTACATAAGCTCTTCTTATAGTTGTTGTAGCCCATAATAGAGAAAAACTGGAACAAACTTGAGATGTAATCATGTTTAGATACCAATTAAAGCAAAAAAAAATCATTATTGCGCTTAATCATTAATTATTTTGGATCCCCCTTGCCAAACATCCTGGATCCGCCGCTGAGAGAGGCAAGTAGGTTCCGGCGTTCGAGTGCACTGGACCATGACTGGACTAAGTTCTGAGGCCCAACCAAAAGAGGGGGTATCGACAGCAGGCTGATATATGTAACTTGGTAAAACATCTTAATATATGCTTGAGTTGCTCAACATAACTCGTCCTATATTAATGGAGTCTAAATATTAAAACAAAAATATTAATATTAAACTGAGGCAGTAATGGTTTGGAATAGTGCAAGGCTCGGAGTGTCAAAGGAGAACTATAAAAGTGGTCAAGGCATAAGTCCTGACAATCCAAATGAGCCTAAGCTTAAAATGAAGCCAGACCTAGGTAAAGATTCGAGAGAAGTTAGACCGATGCCAACAAATGGAAAGTTGTGCCAACTAGACGAAACACATATCTGTTGGGTATCTTGACCTCAAGATATGATTGTTTTGATGATAACAAATATTAAATGTTGTGTGTATTATGTGCTAACATTTGTTTTGCAGTATCAGAGCTAAATCAACAATGATATTCAAAGAGATACTCAATACATACGATGAGTTCAAGGCAATATAAAGCAAAGAAGAAGTTATGCGTAAATGTCAAAATGTAATTTTTCATATTTTCTTTGCTTAGAAATTTTGTACAAGCCTTGATCACTCACACATACATACACTTAGTGTTTAGAACACACTAACACATGCTTAGTGTGTAGTTAACTATAGAAATCCCCTAAGTTAACCATTAGATGTTATAGATATTGAATGAGTCTTAAAACATATCAAATATCTCATATCTATACCTTAGTAGTCGACTAATAGCATTAGTAGTCGACTACTCAAGCCTTTAACAAAATATAAAGTTTCTGTCAAATTACAGTGTAGTCGACTACATAGTATAGTCGACTAATAAGAGTCATTCCAGAATTCCAGACTTTATGTCTTTACAGTGTAGTCGACTAATGACCAGAGTAGTCGACTACTAAGAAAAAATCATGACTTCACATAGTCTGTTTAAACTCAGTGTAGTCGACTACTAAGAATTATAGTCGACTACATAAACAATTTTTCTGATTGTTTGAGATTTGAATACTTGACTGTTTATAGCCGTTTGTGTATGTTTTTAGGGTTTGAAAACTTGTCTTTTTAAGGGCTATAAATAGGTAAAACGTCAGAAAACAAATAACCATCATTTGTACTTGTAAGATCCATATATTGTGCAAATTAACTCTCAAGTTTCCAGTTTTCAGTTCTAAGTTTTAGAAAAGGAGAGTTTCAAGATATTGCCTTAGTTTTTATCATTCTTAGATATTGTTTAGGCAATATTCAGAGAGTCAAAAAGATTCATAAGCCACTGTTACACGTTCACATCCACATCAATGCTTATAGGATTGGATTTGCATTCTTGCTATAAGGAAGATTTCTCTCGGTTTTGAGAGGGTTGATCTATTAGTCTAGAGATCGGTGTACAATTATCATGTTCTTGTCAGTTAGGGTTGTAATTTACATGGTCTTGCAAATTGATCATGTTTGCTTTTGATTTTATAAGGTTTCAAAATTATAGTGGAAATCTCAAGCGGGATTTGCTTGGGGACTGGATGTACACCGGAGAGGTGGAACCAGTATACACATAGTGGAAATCTCAAGCGGGATTTGCTTGGGGACTGGATGTACACCGGAGAGGTGGAACCAGTATACATGCTTGTGTTCTTGGGGACTGGATGTACACCGGAGAGGTGGAACCAGTATACATGCTTGTGTTTGTGATGTTCATTTTCTAATATTGTTGCCATTCTTTCTTGCAATTTATAACACATCTTGCAAACTCTTATTAAGTAACACTAATCAAGGATATCTAGTGTTTTAGTTATAAGCTTCCGCAGAACTTACTCTTTGTATAAGAGCGCACTTAACAATTATCATAAGGGTCAGATCCTACACTTGATATAATATAAGAGTACCCAACAATGTCACCAACAAATAATAGCTGCAACGTATTATTGCTAGGTGTAAAGGTAATCTTTGATCTGATACAACCATTGTAGAAATAAGCTTTTACCTCCAAAGCTTTATCCTCGTCATATATAAATTTTGGCAACTTCCTCATTAGATCTTTCTTGTCAGTCCCATCCAATGCTTTGCCAATCTGCGATTATAAATCATAGTTAACTGGAAAAGTAAATGGTAGAATTCATAGCTATGTTGCAATTAAATGGAAACTAATCAGGATGTTGTAATGACTGTAATTTTCTGAGTCTAAAGGAACATCAATATAAAAATGCAGTCACAAGTCTGAGAAGGGAGGAAAGAATACGGAGATATCTGCTTGAGGAAAGAATACGGAGATATCTGCTTTTGAACCTAGAATCAAATGCTTCAGGTTAGTGGGCTCTTAGCAGGTTCCTATAAAACAAATGATACTAACAATTTTCTAACTTTCAACTTGAAGAGCCCATTTAGTAATAATAAGCTAACTCTCTGATAATTCATGCTGCGTGATTATGCAGAAAAACTATACATGGTACCAAGTAATAGAATACTAGAACGCCACACTACTTAAGATTGACCAAGTACAAAGGAAGAAAAATGGAGCTGAGAGGATTACTTTAGGAGCATAAACATAACCAAGTGCTCCCGCTATTAGTCCTCCCAATAGAAAGCCCCCGACGAAGACACTTGCAGTGCTTGACCTTCCACCATTTCCACTGAAATTAAACGAAAGCACTTAGATTTATTATTTATTATTAATATCTGTATGTTCGTTGTTTCATTTATGAGTTGTAAACTTCAACAACTGGCAAGAACCAAAATTGAGGGCCTTACATCGCATGGAAGCTGAAAGTAGATGAGGCTGATTACAGTAAGAATGATAATATTCATTCTTCAAGGAGAAACTTCATTATCATTTAAGTCCAATAGCTCCTGAGACATTATTCAATACAACTTTTAAACTATAACAGGGCATATGATATGCCCCTCGAGTAGGAAGGTAAACAAGTTTTGAATTAAGGGGACTGTTTTTGGCATTTTATAGAGAGACCTTTATTCATGACCACAATCTAGGAATCTACAGGAGGAAGCTTCAGATAGTAAAAATCCATAGTCAAACACCAAATATGTTGACCAATCGATTAGATAAATTAGAGACAATTATACTTTCCTTGATAATAATGACTATCATTTGTATAACCATCTCGAAACACCAAAGATGCAAATATATCCTTACTTATGGGAAAATGAAAGATATTGTTTGTTGCAAAGATCGTATAACAAGTTTTGAAACAAGTTTTAGACCTTGCCAATGAAAAAAGTCTCCACATATCAAAGCACAAAGCACAAGAGATCTGGCAATATCACAACTGGATGATTTGACATATAGAAGCTTTCTGCCTCGAGAAAAACAAATATCATCCAGCTACCAACAACTTTTTCATAATATCATGCTAAACAATTTCACATCAATTTCAGAAAGGATCTATATACAATCAAGGATCAATCAATTTCAGAAACTATCTATGCATATGATCCACAATCATCCCACCATTCTGAGACGGTTAGTAGCAGTAGGTTCATTTCTTTCTTTATTTTTTCTCCTTTTTCCCTCACAGAACTTCGAATATGCTTTCACTTATTCCAATTTATTTGATCTTTACAAGTGAGTGATCATTCCCCAAGAGGATTTTTCATGCGATTAAAAGTCAAGAAGGTCCACAATGGTGAATGTTCAAGAGTGCTTGGTCCACCATATGCCCATAATCCTTCAGCGTAAGCTGAGCACAGTGATGGCACACAGAAAATATACTGGATAGAGCCCTTGATTGACTTCAATAGCATGCTTTGCGTTTGATTTTAACAGCATCTTGCTTCATACTATTAGACTGAAGAATTATATTGCTCAAATTATAGCAGTGGTGGTGAATGAACTATTGCAATTGCACAAATATTTGTTAGTCAGTCAAAGGAAATATTCATGTTTTACTTCCTGTGCTTCATGCTCTTTCCTGCTTTTCTTGCTCAGGAAACCAACAAAAGAGATAATTTGACTTGTGCATATTAAGAACATTTTCTTTGATGACAGCAGCAAAGATTAATGTATCAACATTAGAGAAGAAGCCCAATTACTCATATAGTTTGCATTTTCCAGTCTGTTCTTTATTAGAATCAGAACTTCTCAGGTATTACTTCAAACAAACCCGCATCCCTCCTTTATCACTACTAGGATTTATGCACGTGCAATGCACGTGATTAAATATTATGATTAAGTATTTTTAACTTATTTCTTTACTAAAATTTGTTTCTCAGTTACACTTTGATTGTTTTCTCACTTATGTTTTCAAACTTTACTATTGTGATTATTTTTTTAATGTTTATTTGAATGGGCTACACCAAATTTAAAATTTACATGTAATAATTGAATTGACAAGAAATAACTATAATCTAAAGCTAATATGAATTTTCGCGTTATTTAGATCGGCATGAAACCAAGCTTGGCTTAAGAAGGTATAATGTTGTAAAAGTGAAAAACACTTAAAAAAATAATGTTATAAAAGAAGGATGAATAATTAAACCTAATAAAACAAGATGATAAATTAAAAGTGGGCTATAATATTTTTTTAATTAGGACATAATTATTCAATATGTTTTTTAAGGAGAACTCGGTTAGTACTTCTTTGCTCGATATGCTTTTTATCAATGTCAATTCAGGTGATTCATAAATGTTTCTGAATTTTGAGTTTATTTCCTTCACTTCTCCATTTGAAATGAAAACAACTTAGTTCTTTTAAAGGATATCTCTGAACTTTTTGATAGTTTATCCATACATAACTCCTTGTATTTTTTTACTTTATAAATAAATATTATCAACATTAGAGATAAATATTTATACATTATAATCAATTAATGCTAATATATTATATATTAATGTAATCATATCAAACATTTCCTCTTTTCTTTACCAAATTTCAGCTTTTTTGTGATTTAAACTTTTGAGGGTGTGTTTTGCAATTTTTTAACTTTGATAGTATTTTATGAAAATTTTAAATTTTAAGTTGGACGCTTATAATTTTCATGTTTCATGTGTTGGTGATAAGTTTTTAAATGTTAGAATATTTCTCGTAACTCTGAAAATTTAAAGGTATTTTTATAATTACTAAAATTTTGGGTTATTTTTTAAAAAATTTAAATTTTTAGCAATCTGCTGATAATTTCTAAATTTTATGTGTACCAGTTATAAGTTTTAAAATTTTAGAATTTTTTAATAATTTTTACTTTTAAGAGTTTTTATAATTTTTATACCTTTGAGGTTATTTTTTTACTAATTTTAAATTTCTATGTGCCTAATGGTAATCCCTGGAATCCATCTATGTTGTTTCTAAGTTTTGAAATCTCTGAATTTTAGAATGTTTTTTGTAATTTAAACATGGTTAAATAGCACTTATATACCCTATTGTTTTGCTCTTATAGTAGTTATATACCCTAAGTTACAAAACATAACAAAAAATACCCTGAGTTGGTAACTATTTAAATTTATCTAACGGTGTTAAAAAATAATGAAAGAATAATAATGCCCCTCCTTAAGAATTAACCCCCCCCCCCCAACATAGTGAAAGCTCTTATTTTCTATTGTTACCTATATTAAAGAGGAAGAAGAAGTTGGAGGTCACGAAAAGAAGATGATGATGATGAAAATAATCTTTTTTTTTTAGGGGGGGTAGGTAATACAGTAAATAATATAATAAATGAGGGTAAGAAGTATTCAAGTTGGTCATAGGTCCAGCACGTGGGAATATTTCGGAGAATATTCTCACAGCTGGTTAACAGAAGGTACAAACTTGCAAATTTTTGCCAAGTCAAGGTATTTTTTTGCTATATTTTGTAACTTAGGGTATATAACTGTTTCAAGAGCGAAACACATATGGTATATAAATGTAATTTAGCCTTTAAACTTTTAAGGTTGTTTCTACAATTTTTAAAATATTAAGGGTGTTAATTACAAGTTTTAAAATTTTAGATATCATGTTTGTTTTTAAGTTTTAAAAAGTCAAGGTGTTTTGTGTAATTTTAAACTTTTAAGGCTATTATATGCAATTTTTGAAACTTTTGGGTTTTTTTTTATAATATTTCATATATTATAATATGTTATCTATGTATAATTTCTTAATCTTATTTTTTCTATATTTTTGAGTTATAGGTAGTTCATATGGAGTTAATATATGATATAATTAGTATTTAGATAGATTAAGATATAAGTGAAATATTCAAAATAACTTTTTTTAAATTGTTGACCTATAGATAGTTCACGTGGAATTAGATAAGATATGATAAAAATTAAAATAGATTAGGATAACAATGTAATATTCAAAAAAAATTAAGGGTAATAATGACTATAGAAAGATTTTCCCGAACTTGTACTTTTAAATGGAGTATGATTTCAGCTCTTCCCTTAACATTTAACATTTCCCAAATATTGCTTAGATAATATGCGTTCTATATTTGCATTGTGGACTCAGGTGAAAGGTTAAGGACAAACATCAAAAATGGCAAAGCATGACTCGGAGGTAGACAGCCTTCTGTTCAGCTCCTGTCAAGGCAATTATGTTAAACGTGGCAAGCCATAGGGGCAGTTAGTGAGCACAGGGGGGTGCACCTCAAACTCACAAAACCACAGAAACCCCATTAAAACTTCCTTTGGGCGGTTAGATTGAGAGGAAAGATAAAGACTGGTATAGAGAGTTCTTTTATGCGCAATATTAGCAAAAGTAGTAATAAGAGTAACACATAGGTGACAGCCCCATCCCAAAAGCTTTAGTAAGAAACTTTTAACTAATCATGACTATATGGTCAGCAATCAATATGGTGAGAAATACAATATTACTGTAGGTGGTCTTGAAGAAGCAGGCATATATACAAAGCCTAGCAATAAGAATTAAGAATTAAGATCTAAACATTGATATTATTTCACGATGGAGAGTACCTCAAACCAGCTTGAACACTAATCTGTCGCTTAGAGATTCCAATTTTTCCTCTCCTGGTGTTAATGGGCCTGAGAGACAAATTCAGATGGTTGCTGTTCACAAAGGATTGACCTAGCAGCTTTGATGAGCAATCCTCTGGCAAAAAAAATCCAAGATTAGAAATGCCAGAAATGGTTCAAAATGAAAAGGGAAAAAAAACAAGCCTACAGGGTAATAGGCCTATCACTACTGCAATTCTCTAATGGTAGATAACAAGCAGGTGATTTGCAGGCAGACTCCAAACATCCAACAGAGGAATTAAATGAAAAATAGCCAACAAATTTTGTAAACAGTTAAGATACCCACCCTTAAGAAAGATATTATATTATTATCTTGAAAAATGGACATTCCAAATATAAAGTAACGAATACGATAAAAAAAATAAGCAGGTTAAATTCCCCACATAGTCATAAGCTCGTTATATATCTTACCCATTGGAGCATTCTCCCATCATAAGACTCTAACTCTGATAGTACTGGACCTTTCCTCCTGAAATTAGTTGATTCCTCGTTACTCAAGAGTGTAAAAGTTAAAATGTTCATCCATACTATCATGGATCAAATTGTTGGGTTGTAAAGTTCCATTAAGAAGATGGACTAGGCTAATCTATTAGGATACAGTTGACTCAAAAAGATTATCTTTATGAGTCGTGATCCAAGCATATTTAACCATATATTCATCTAAATGTTCCTCCGATGTGGTATTAAATCTATTCTGATGCCTTTGCTAAATCAAACTCACACTTAAACTGGATGAACGTGAGACATTCCGAACACAAATGGTGCCCAAATATGCTAGACCAAAGACTTTTGTCAAACTGGCTAATCACCATGTCATTATTCCCAATTATGCATAAATAGCTTAGAACCAAGTCTTCTTCTACAAACAAACAAAAAAATTGCTATATTGACTAGCCACCAACCTAGTCCCAATTATTGGGTGACATGGATTCATCTTCACCAACAATTTCTCTAAAGTGCTACACTTATTGTGACCACTCACCTATTAAGGTCTCTCTTACAACTGGTATATCTACAGTTTTATTACATCCCCTCTTCCTCACTCTTCTTTAGAAACAAATAAATATTTTGTTTAAATTAACAAACACAAACTTTGCAACTACATGACTATGAATCATATCACTGTGCCCTGCACAGTAAGGGGAATTTCGTGCGCAGCAGGGGGAGTATGGTGGGTAGTCTGGTAATATTAGCGCTAAACATAAGGTTCAGATTGCATTGCGCTATGCAGGCTTCTGATAGGAATTGCCCTCTATCTATATAATATCTCCAATGTCACATATTATACCATAGATTATTATTATAAATCATTACACAGTGATAAAATTATACTATATGAAAATATGAGGAGTAATTGGATTAATCTCTGCAGTATACTAAGTAATTAAAAACAACAATTAGTAGCATCTTAAAGTGTGCTATGAAGATAAGGGCATAAGACTGTAGAGATGGAGCTCAGAAGCAGTTCTGGGAAGCAGATAGATTGGCGGTCGACCGCGGCGGTCGACCACGTTCGTGCACAGAAGGCACTGTGCGTCTGAATTGGTCGGTCGACCGCGATGGATCGCGGTCGACCGTCACGGTCGACCGCCGTAGCGGTTTTGGGCTGGGTCTGTTTTCCAAACCCGTTTCGTTTGGGTTTTCTATAAATACCCAAACTCGATTCTAGGTTTGAAAGGCAAGGGGTTTTGAGCAGATTGAGAGAGCTTTCTTTGGGTTTCTATTCTAGGAGCAATTGATGAGATCAAGAGTTGATTTATTGAGGGTTTATGAGAGATTTGTAACCCTAGTTGTATCCCCTTGATTTCTAATAGTAAAAACTTCCCCCCTTCTTGCCCCGTGGACGTAGGCATCTCGCTGAACCACGTAAAATCTGGTGTTTGATTATTTGTGCTATTGTTTGGTGTGGTTGTTTATCTCTCTCGGCTATTTGGTTGGATCTCGGCATAGGGGGTTCTCCCCAACAAGTGGTATCAGAACTCCGGACAACGCTTGGGCTTATTGGAGGTGTAGATCAGTTGGGAAGTTCATCTAGAGCTTCGATTGGTGATTAAGGTGGGATCTTTGTGGTAAAGTTTCTATCTTTTTCAAATTGGATCTATTTCTTGTTTGTTCCGTAATAGTTTGGATGCTTTGAGATATATGGTCGGAAAAAATAAAAATGGGGAGGGTTCTTCTAGTGTGAAGGCCGTCCAAAGTTTGAATATATATGCTATGAAAATAGATGTGAAAAAATTCAACGGCACAAATAATTTTGGACTTTGACGATGCGAAGTCATGGATGCGCAAAATTTGGAAGATACGTTGGAATTGGACGGGAAACCGACCGACATTGATGATAAGGTTTGGAATAAAATGAATAGAACAGTGTGTGGTGTGATTAGGTCTTGTCTTACCCAAGATCTAAAATATAATGTGATGAATGAGACTTCGGCAAAGAATGAGAGGTCCTAGAGGACAAATATTTGACGAAGAACGTCGAAAATCGTTTGCATTTAAAGAGGAGGCTTTATCGCTTCCAATTGAAGAAAGTGACATCTATTAGTGATCACATGAACCACTACACGAAGCTACTTGCATATTTGACGAATGTAGATGTTATAGTTGAAGATGAAGACAAGACATTGTTATTATTGAGTTACTTACCCGACGAGGAATATGAGACCTTCGTCCTCACTCTTATTAATGGGAAGGTATCTCTTTCGTATAGTGAGGTCATTGCAGCTCTTGTGAATTATCAACTTCGTAAGAAGGACAATGAGACTTCCATTAAGCCGGTTGCGGGGGCATTGGTTGCAAGAGCTAGAAGTTCAAACCGTGGTAGGAGGTCGCAGTCTAGAGGGGGGCATCCTGCAGTTGGTAGGAATCAGTGTGCCTTTTGTAGAGAGGATGGATATTAGAAAGCTGAATGCCCAAAATTACAAGCCGGGAAGAATAAGGGGAAAGCTATTCAAGCTTCAGAGGTGAATGTTGCCAAGGCTAGTGGTGACGTTTTAGATTCAGATTCTTCAGGCTATTCGTGCCCAGCTCTTCCGTCAGTTGGTGTTGCCGACTCCACCGAGTGGATGTTGAATTCGGGTGCTACTTATCACATATGCCCTAGAAGGGATTGGTTCTTTAGTTTTCAGGAGTTAGAAAAATGTGATGCTGTTCTTATGGATAATGATCACAGATGTCCTATTGGTGGTATTGGTACCGTTCGTATTCGGACGAGTGACAGGATGATTCGGGAGTTGTTTGATGTGAGGTTCGTTCCTCAACTGAGGAAGGACATCATTTTACTTGGGGTATTGGAGGCAACAGGCTATAGGGTGACCTTGGCGGATTCTCGCTTGAAGGTCACATCGGGATCCATGATTGTGATCAAGGACGTCAGGAGGAGTAACTTATATTATCTGTTTGGGAGCACGGTGATTGATAGAACGCTGACGACTTCTTTGACTAGACTGTGGCATTGTTTGGTGTTGGGGTATATTATTGGTTATGCCGTGCATAGGTCGGTGAGGAGTGCTATGACCTGCAGATTAAAGTCCTGTGAGCACATTGGGATGAGCGAGGAGACCGAGGTGGAGTTCAGCACTTCTATCCACCGATCGAGGGGTCTTATTGGAGGTGGATAGAGCGCTGACGACTTCTTTGGCTAGACTGTGGCATTGGTTGGTGCTGGGGTATATTATTGGTTATGCCGTGCATAGATTGTTGAGGAGTGTTATGACCTGCAGATTAAAGTCATGTGAGCACATTAGGATGAGCGAGGAGACCGAGGTGGAGTTCAGCACTTCTATCCATCGATCGAGTGGTCTTATTAGAGGTGTTCAGTCAGGCATTGGGGGACCTTCTATGGAGGCATCATTGGGAGGTAATCAGTATTTTGTTTCCTATGTTGGGGATTGTACTAGACATATATGGGTTGCAACCAAGTCCCGTTGGTCTGAAACCCTAGTAGTCCGCAACAGTTGGAGGAGGTGTATGGGCAGAAAGACTACCCGTCGTACTAGCTCTAGTAGGGATTCTTTCGTGCATTGGTGCCGAGCTCATGACAGTTGGAGATACTTCAGAGGAGAGGAGATAATGGGGCGACGTGATGAGATGACGGATCTAATAGGCCGTTCCTTTCTGGAGGAGGATCGGTGTTGGTTGTCGAGCAGTGGATTTGGTATTCAGGTTTTGACATGTTTGGGTCATCTTATGAGGTTACCGACTGTTGCGTGTAGAGTTGTTAGATCTGGTGGAGCTGCTTCAGGTTTTGGTCGGCGTCGGATATTTAGCTACCCAGCACTTGGTCACATCGTTGATGTGAAATTGGATCTGATTGCGCATTTGGGATTCAGGAGTTCATTCGGCTATCAGTTGGGAGCTTCTGAGTTTGGTCTGGGCAGGTTTGCCACTTTGGACTCTTGACAGGTAGAGAGTATTGATCAGATCAGAGGGATACCGCAACGGATGGAGAGTGATGCTACTCCACATTGGGTGGAGCTTACTCCACAAACTCCAGGTCATTCTGCATTATTTGGTTTTCTAGCTGAGGTGGCACAGCGTGGAGTCATTTGGATACGGATGCGGATGACGAGTTGGTAGATCCGAGTGCAGTTGGTGGGATATAGCTTGGATACGGCCATTGTTTCACCTCAAGTGGAGGTGTTTGGATCGCTTCAGTTTCGGATCGTTGATGATGCTATCAGTCGCAGTTTGGACTGAGGGCCTTTGGAGGCCATTTGGTGAACTACGTGAAGGCTTGATTCTTTGGAGAGGATATGTAGGCAGTCAGTTTTGATGCAGCCGATTTGGTGAGTAGACACAGTTGTTTTGGGGTGAATGTTCGCACTCCCGTTTGGGTCTCGACGTGTTGTGGATGGGATCCGTTGTCATGAGTCTGTTGTCATAACGTACTGGATGCAACAAGCGAGGCATTGGTTTGGTTAGTGTCGGCTCAGTTTGGTAGAATCTTCGCCGAGGTGGAGATTTATAGAGATGGAGCTCAGAAGCAGTTATGGGAAGCAGACAGATTGGCGGTCGACCGCGTTCGTGCACAGAAGGCACTGTGCGTCTGAATTGGTGGCGGTCCACCGCAGAAGTCTCTGGATTCTTTGAGCTACTCTGGGATTGAGGACGGTCGACCGCCACGGTCGACCGTCGTAGCGGTTTTGGGCTGGGTCTGTTTTCCAGACCCGTTTCGTTTGGGTTTTCTATAAATACCCAAACTCGATTCTAGGGTTTGAAAGGCAATGGGTTTTGAGCAGATTGAGAGGGTTTCTTTGGGCTTCTATTCTAGGAGTAATTGGTGAGATCAAGAATTGATTTGTTGAGGGTTTATGAGAGATTTGTAACCCTAGTTGTATCCCCTTGATTTCTAATAGTGAAAACTTCCCCCCTTCTTGCCCCGTGGACGTAGGCATCTCGCTGAACCACGTAAAATTTGGTGTTTGATTGTTTGTGCTATTGTTTGGTGTAGTTGTTTATCTTTCTCGGCTATTTGGTTGGATCTCGGCATAGGGGGTTCTCCCCAACAAAGACATCCATTATCTTAACGATTGATGGTTGTGAATTCACAAATGTCAGTAGTAACACAACATGACCACAATGTCCTAAACATCAATATATCTTTTAGCCCGTGTTTTAAAGGCGATGCGCCCTAGCACTTTAGGTGCTCAGGCGAGGCGATCTTGTAACTTAGCGCCTTGCGTATTGCTCGGCAATGAAGGTTACTAAGGCAATCGCCTTTTGGCGCTTTAGGAGCCTTGGCACCTCAAACATTGCCTTGGCACCTCAAGCACTCGCCTAAGGCATGTGATTCAAGGTGCTACGTGTTTGTCTCTGTTTCAAAATTTTGAGGGTGCGAAAGGTGTCTGATAAAGTAAAGTTATTTTTGTTATTGAATATTTGTGTTTCTTCTTTCATTGTTGATTTTTTGTTTTTTTTTTGTTGAAGTATACTTTATTACATATTAGTTTTGAGGACATGTCACAATTTGAACCTTAATGTTCAAAGTTTGTTACTTAATTATCTATATTAGCAATTACTAGTTAGTATTACTATTTAATGTTTGTTATTTGCTACTTCATTTAGATGGTTTATGACTTATTAGATTTGTAACTTTGAAATTTTAGAAGTGATTAATTTCTCTTGTTGATATTTATTGTATCTGCATATTGTTTGTAATGTTTATAAATTTTTTGAATATTTATCACCTTTTTTGGCACCTCTCGCCTCAGGCAACACAGGCCTTCATCGCCTTGACTTCGTCTTTTGTTTTTAAAACATCGTTTTCGTCTTTTGTTTTTAAAACACCGTTTTTAAAAACTAGCGGACAACAGGACTAATGAAAAAATAAAATAAAATATGATAAATTTCCAAATATTTATCACCTACTAAGAAGTGAATCCAATCAACTTCCTAAATCGCGAACACATCCTGAAATGAAGTCTAATGCTAAGAAACACCGAAATTTTTGTTTACATCCATAAAATGGGCCCAACATTCATTACATCTGACAAGTTTGAAACCGGCTTTGGATATGTAGGCTTCATGATGTCGATCTAAATTTAGTTTATGAGATCTTACAATAGAATAGGTAAAGCTCGAGCATTAGATGCTGGCACATGAGATGCTGGCTATCGCCATAACTAGAAGAACCATACAAGATCAAGCAAGGAATATGAAGCCAAAATCATTTGGGTATCCCATATTCTAAGCAAAGGGAATTTTCACATCCTGGAGAATGAAAAAGCTCGTGGGTTAGATGTATAAGTTCCAACATCTTCCAAATTTTAAATCCAAATAAAAAGGACCATAGAAAAAAAAAAGCTACATGTCTATTTTCTTTTCCACACAGAGTTCCTGTGAGTTCCAACAAGCCCCAGTTTGAAATCGTGCGATGGAAGATCAAGAAAAGGAGAATTCTCTATTGCATATCATGTAATAATTGGGTGAAGCCTATCATTTATTTGTTCCCTAAACCTTTCATTTGCATAGGTACAAATTTGAGGTTTTCCTCCTGATTTGTTTGTTTATAATTGACGTAATTGCCAAAACAAAACCCTAAAAAAATTATGAGCTAGAGTTTGGTAGGGATTCATGTATTTATTAACTATTTTTATATTGTACACCAAAAATCCAACAAAACTGATTGATGTATGAATAAATTGTATCAGCTAATTATTTTCCCAAAAAATGTACTTTGATCGCGGCTCTTCGAAGTAGGTCCACAAATTTCCCCTTTTGGATCTGGCTCTCTTTCCCAGTGCAATGACTTGCTAACACATTCTTCAAAGATCTGTTTAGCTAAAACCTAAAAGTTAGGTTTTTATATGACCTAAGATTAATCATGTCAACAAATTATCAATAAATTCAAGATTAAGTGTCCATTTTCAACAAATCATGTTCAAATATTATTAGTTCATACGACCAATTCACAAAAAAGTGTACACTATGACCAAAAGGTAGGTCATATAAAAACCTGAAAGTTAGGTTTTTATATGACCTACGATTAATCATGTAAAAAAATTATCAATAAATTCAAGATTAAGTGTCCATTTCCAACAAATAATGTTCAAATATTACTAATTCATATGACCAATTCACAAAAAAAGTGTACACTATGACAAAAAGTTAGGTCATATAAAAACCTAAAAGATAGGTTTTTATATGACCTAAGATTAATCATGTACACAAATTATCAATAAATTCAAGATTAAGTGTCCATTTTCAACAAATCATGTTCAAATATTACTAATTCATACGACCAGTTCACAACAAATTGTACATTATGAGACCCAAAAGCTAGGTCATATAAAAACCTAAAAGTTAGGTTTTTATATGGCCTAAGATTAATCGTGTACACAAATTATCAATAAATTCAAGATAAAGTGTCCATTTTCAACAAATCATGTTCAAATATTACTAATTCATACGACCAATTCACAACAAACTGTACATTATGGGAAAAAAAAGTATTAGGGTTTTACAGCGAGATCTCTCAATCTTTCATAATGTTTGATGCCAAGTTGAACCACAAAAAGACGTCAAATCAAATAAATTTGGAGCCAAGAAAGCAAATGTAGATATCAAACTAATTACCAGACCGCCATTTGAAGCTGAGATCTTGAGGGGAGATGAGAGAACTCGCGAGCGCTGCCATCGTCTTCTTCAACTGATCACTGCTTGAGGGGAGATTTAGGAAGAAAACTGAATTAAGGGCAAAATGGAAATTTACTTATTTCGTTACAAACAAGGCGTCGTTCTGCTTTCATCAAAATCTCAGCCCAACAGTGTATAAGCCCATTATGGGTATTTTGAGGCTTTGTCTTTTTCTTTTTCTTTTTTTTTCAACTATATAGGGGTATTTGGTTACACAATTTTATAGAAAAATTTTCTCAAAATGTCTGGCAATGACAATTCTGTAATTAAAAAAATTTCACAGATTTTCGTAAATTGTGTTTGTTTCAAAAAAATTTACAAAAATATTTTCTGTAAGTACAAAAATATAGCAAATTTACAGAAATCAATTTCCTCTCAAAATGTGCGGAAATCACATAGAAATCTGACACAACATTGATATTTTATCTATAAAGTTGACACTTTTCTATAAATTTAGGCGGTGTTTGGTTTAATTTCTATAAATTATAGGAAATCTTGCTATTTTCTATAAAGTTATGAGTCATTTTCTTGTTTTGAACCAAACAAGCAAAGTTAAAAAAACAAAAAAAATTGGTATTTTTTAACTTCTCAAAATTTTTCCTATGATTTTTTTAAGAAATACAAGGAAATCATATTTTTAGTGAAAAACATTTCCTATAATTTGTAGATATTGAACCAAACACCCCTATATATACCCCTCCAGTCAACCATATTTGTAAATTCACTCCTAAAATCTAAATATTTCTTAATTTACCTTTTAAATCTAAATAATTGCTAATTTATCCCAATTCTATCCAATTAAGTTAAAACCCTTCAAACTTGACGGTGTTAGTTTAAGATATATAGAAATATATGAAAAAACAGATACATATTTTTGTTATTATTGATCTTTTTGTAATTATTGAGGTAGAGAATAAAAGTGAAAAATAGACAATATTACACGTGGAAAATAATAAAATCTACTAATCTACTTTCACTTTTTATTTCTAACTTCAAGTGATTTTATTTATCTTTTAATATACCTGATAATTTTCACTGGCTATGTCTACTCCTCACTTTCATGGTCAAACTTTCAAGCATTTTATCAATCTTTTTATACATATGATTATCTTTCGGTAATACTTGCTATGTTTCATTAGCTCTATCGATCGTCATTTGACAACAACACCATGTACTTTTTATTTCATCCTTTCTCCAATCAAAGAATTTATTGGCAACAACAAAATGTTCTGATCGTCCGATGCGACTTGGTTATATTATATTTTCATTGGCTATTCTTTTTTTTTCATTAATAGAAATTTTTTATTGGCCATTCTGATCTACCGATGGAAGATAAATTAACGAAGAAGTTTTAACTTTTCGTACATTAGAATATCATTACATGAATAAATATCTGATTTAATTTTAAAAGAATGGGCTGCTTGACTTAAGATACAAATTATCTTTTTCAGCCTTCTAAGTCAATATAAATCAAAATACATTAATCTAATTCCATCTCCACTGACCACCTGTACAAACTCGATTATGCTATGCGTGTGGTAGGAATCCCGAACCGAACCATACTATTATACATGCGCCAAATTTTGTAACTCATTTTATTGGCTGTTTGTTTCGATGCGTTAATTTTGTGAGTTTTGCGATGAAAAATGGGACCACAAGCTTAAGAATCCTATGTCTTTAATGAATACATTATTTATTAGTCGTTTTGCATGCCATGAATTTAGAGTTGACTGATAGGAGGGATGCCTCAAATATAATTCCCTAAAATTATCTTGATTTTATCGGATTTTGTTATTTTAGTCACATATTCTCAATAAAATATACGTGCAACCAAACAGATTTTGGTTAGATTTTGCCCTTCATGCAAATAAATTTTATTATCCATTGCAATCAAATAAGCTTTGAATTTAGATTTTTCTAGATCCATAGCATGAATTAAAATACAATCCACGAACCAAACGGCTGTACTCAGCATCAGATTTTATGGGGGACAAATTTTCAAAACCGACTCATTTGGGTTTTTAATTGCAAAAAACGACCCATTTTAATTTTAATTATAAAAACCGACCTAGTTGGTTGAAACTGTGTCGGTTTTTGAAAATTTTTTTCCCAAACTTCACGGGAGTTCAACTCCCGTGAAGTTTTGTTATGAGAAAAAACTTCACGGGAGTTCAACTCCCGTGAAGTTTCCCGAAAATTTTTACAAAAACCGACCTGTTTTCAGCCCCTAGCTGAAAACAGGTCGGTTTTTGTAAATATTTTTAAAACCGGTCGTTTTTTGCAATTAAAAACTCAAATGGGTCGGTTTTGAAAATTTGTCCATTTTATGGGAGAAAAAAGCCCAACAGCAGATGTTCATTGATCAATTTCTAACTGGGTGATTGTACAGGATGTTCGTGTTGTTTACGATGTTATGTTAGACTATGGTTTACTGGTCGGCGGCTCAGGTCCTTCAAAATATTCATTTTGCCAGCGCATACAATTGGGAGATTAACTAAATTAATCTCATCGAAGACCTTGCAAGTCATTTTTTAATCAAGTTCAATCTCGCAAACTACTATAAATCAGCTAGTTAAAGCATCGGCAGCTCACACCATCTTCGGAATCGTTCATCATTTGACCAATCGAGATCAAGAAATGGTGATCCCCCACTCTTCCTTCTGTCCTCTTGCTTGACTACCAAAATTAGTGCACGACAATGATTAAGCTGTGGCTGATTAGTTACTAATACTTTCTTTTAATTTGTTGTTAATTAACCCCGTCTGTGTTGTCATGAATTCAGTCGGGAAATCCAGGTGCTGCAGGAGGAATGGGAGGAGCTCCGGGAGCCCCTGGCGGTGATGGGGCCAATGCCGGAATGCCCGGTCTGCCTGGAATGCCTGGTGCCGGAGGATACCTTGTGGTCGGCGGTGGCGACGGCTAGGAAGCGGCAGGGCCCGGCTGCTGGCGACCGGTTGCGTTGCGACATCGGGGGCCTCCGTGTGGCAAGCGCGCAGGTAGACGGCCGGCGACGTAGCGGTTGGAGGAAGCGGAGGGTCTGCCGTGACGGAGGCCGGCCGGCGGAAAAGCGGCCGGCGGAAGCTGGAGGGTCCGGTGGCGGAAAGCGGCTGGCGAGGAAGCTGGTGGCGGAAGCGGCAGGCCGTCCGGTGGTGGATCTTAACGATGGCCTGAAGCGGTGGCCAGTGCAAGGCCGCAAGGCCTGCGCGGATGGTGGTGGCGGGCGCGCGAGGCCAGGAGGAGGAGGGCGGCGGCGGTGGAAGGGGCCGGCGCGCAGGCGAGCCGGACGATAGAAGCTGGATATGAGCGAGAATTAATTGTTGAAGATTGAGCATCAACTGCGAGTGAATATTCTCATTTGTTGCATCTTTTCAGTGTATTTCTCTGTGTGCTATGATCTACCCTGTACGGAATAAGTGGGAATGTTAATCCCTCTCTTGTTGTTGTTTAAAATAAAATTTGTTTGTTTCATTGTGGTATTATTTACCTTTTTCAAGAAATATGAAAAAATGTCTTTCTACGGCATGAATTTATTGATATGTAAGATCATTTTTTGGATGGAAACTCATACTATGGTGTTTGGAAATAGAAAAAGAAAGACGTTGATTGGTTACACTTTAACATTTTAACATTTTCCTCAATAGTTCTAGAAAAAAAATTTCCACTCATTCCCGAGTTACGATTTCGAAATGGATTTCCAAGAAAACCGCCCACTTCAGAAAATTTATTTCCCAAAGTTGAAGCCTCACTAGTAAAAGAAAAGGTTTTGACACACTATCTTGAAAAAAAAAATCTTCTTCGGTGGAGATCGAAACATTTTTCAAAAGGTTTCCATCCCAACCAAACAATCCCTTAGGCTGGACTTGGCAGGAGATAGAAGGTGGAGAGGGGACGAAAGGTGCATTAAGATAGAAGGAATGATGTTGAAATGTAACAAACTTTCTCAATTTCAGTGAGCTCTGAGTTCTTAATTTAGAAATTCAAGCACAAAGTATGAAAATATATATTGAAAACCAAATCACAAACAAAACACTACATCTGTAAATTGAATATTATGACTGTAGAAATAGTGTCAAAATCCATGAGAGAACAAGCAGGCAGTTTCACGGTCGACATTACATGACGCTGCGGTCGACCGCAACATGCACAACACTGTAGTATGGCTCTGGACTTTTGACGGTTGACCGCACATGGTTCTGCGGTCGACCGCGATCGAACCCAGAAGTTGGGAAACTCTCTGGAGTTTTTGCGGTCGACCGCGATATGTGCTCTGCGGTCGACCGCGATGCGGGTTTAGGTCAGGTTTAGTTTTCCAGACCCGTTTCGTTGTGAGCTTGTATATAACCCTAACCACGAATTTTAGGGTTATGTAAGGAGGGTTTTGAGCTTCCAAAAGAGGTTGTTGTTGCATCCATTGTGGGAGGCTTTGAGAGAGATCTACTTTTAGAGCTTATTTTGTGGGTTTTGGTAAGATTTGTAACCCTATTTGTATTCTCTTGATTTCTAATAGTATAAACTCCCCCCTCCTTGCCCCGTGGACGTAGGCAACTTGCCAAACCACGTAAATTTGTGTTCTTGTTGTGATTGGTGGTTTGATTGTGTTATTGTGATCTATTTTGGTTCTTGTGTGTGCGATTTATTGGTATTCGAAGGCTTCCGTAGCGCACAACAAGTGGTGTCAGAGCTCCGGGTTTTTTATTTGAGGTTTGTTCGAAGGATTCGTTGTTGGATTCTTGTTTGGAAAGGTAGATCTACAATATGAGTGAAACAAGCACATCGGGGTCATCTTTGACGAAAGCGATACACAGTCTGAGCATCAATAATACAAAGATTGATGTTCCGAAGTTCGACGATGTAGGCGTCAAAAAATGCTGAGAGATATCCGAATACAGCTCAAAAAGGCAGAAGAACACAAGTATGGGCTGTCTCGCACGTGAGACAGACTTGACTGTCTCGCCGTGCGAGACAGTCTTTACTGTCTCGCTGGCGAGACAGACTTTTACTATCTCGCCCACGCGAGACAGTCTTTACTGTCTCGCTGGCGAGACAGACTTTTACTGTCTCGCCCACGCGAGACAGTCTTTACTGT